TACGTGTCGTAATAGACACGGCAAGGGAGACCAAAGCTGCCGGCTTTTTTCCGGACGGTATTCTGGTGCTGGTCTGGGTGCCGGAAAAACTGTGTCCAGGATGGAAATTGAGTGGAAAAGGTGCCCGTGGCTAGAACAAGTCGAAAGTAAATGTGTGGAACTTTGGATACGTTAGCTTTACAAAGGACAAACTTTTTACACAGTGAACCTTACTAACTGAACAGCACACGTATGTTGAAGGTTGGTTGTTATGAGGATAAAAAATCCCATCTCATGATGAAACGATTTCCCAAACGTGATGTTACCAAGGATGCTCATAGCTCAGACATGTGAGTGAGACTGGTAAATGTGCACATGTAAGGTGCTCACTGTCTGCAGCATTGACCTTTCTGAAGCACACATCACTCATGCCGAGTGTGCGCATGCACACGCACGCATGCATATGATTAAGGGGCTGTGTTTTTTGCTTGCTAATGTTCAACTGCCTTACTTGTTTGTTGGCAATGGGAAAATGAGCTATGCAAACAATGCATAACGATAAACAAAGTCCACTTCCCCGAAGTCGACCACGAAGTTGAGCATTTTTGGTCTGTGTCAGGCACGGATTCATTGCATTGCAGCCACAGCCCGATACTGAGCTGACTCCGGCCTGTAAAGCCTGCTGGAGTCAGGTTCAGAATCAACTTGGCCTATTGTGAGTCAGATCCAAATGGACTTTGGTCAAACGAGTCAAGCAAAAGCCAAGTGCACAAGATGGCGGCCACCCACCTACTCATTGTGCGGGGGGGGGGGGGTGGATGTCTGAGAAGCAACAGAGCTGAGAAATGGTCAGATTAAGCTGTATTGTAGCAGCTTGCAATGGGGCTCTGCGGAAAAAAAACCTGCAGAGCAAAGCGCTCGCCATGACAACCCGCGTGACTGGTCCAAGCCATCTGCGGCGGTTAGAAACTCATATGAAGCCTAGCATTTTCAGCTGCTTATCAAATGCATCCGATTCCAGATATCAACCGTTACTCCCATAGAAGGCCCTGTTAGGTAGCATTTACAAAACGAGCATTTCCCCACCTAAACGCAACATTCCGTAAAGCTACTAGTAGCCCGTTAGATGGCAGAATATTGATCCGGCCAAAGTAAAGATGGCGCTACATTCGTTAACAGCTAAGAGTGACAGCGCCTAAACGCATCATTGGAGGACACCGTCCCTCCCATCAGGCAGCTAAGAAGATTAGCGCCACACATTCTCCAAAGAAACCAGCCCCGACTTGTCGCAGTGCAGCTTCTAAAGGACCACGAACACGCGTCGCATTCAGCGCACACATATATCCTTAAAAATATCGCACGCCATGCGCTGACCTACCAGCCACCTGACGTCGAATCACCACAGTGGGACAGCCAGCGATCACGTGGTCTATACATCATGCCGCGATCACGTGACCAGATCAGAGTGGCGTTCACGTCCAGCTCGCGGACATGATTGGGGCCTGGGTTGGACGTCTGGAGGAGCCAGCCCGTTAGTGTCTGACCTCTGATCGGGCCCAATCGCGGACCAAGCCTCTAATCGGGCCCAGTCGCGGACCAAGCCTCTAATCGGGCCCAGTCGCGGATCAAACCTCTGATCGGGCCCAGTCGCGGACCAAGCCTCTAATCGGGCCCAGTCGCGGACCAAGCCTCTAATCGGGCCCAGTCGCGGACCAAGCCTCTAATCGGGCCCAATCGCGGACCAAGCCTCTAATCGGGCCCAGTCGCGGACCAAACCTCTGATCGGGCCCAATCGCGGACCAAGCCTCTAATCGGGCCCAGTCGCGGACCAAGCCTCTAATCGGGCCCAATCGCGGACCAAGCCTCTAATCGGGCCCAGTCGCGGACCAAGCCTCTAATCGGGCACAGTCGCGGACCAAACCTCTGATCGGGCCCAATCGCGGACCAAGCCTCTAATCGGGCCCAGTCGCGGACCGAGCCTCTAATCGGGCACAGTCGCGGACCAAGCCTCTGATCGGGCCCAGTCGCGTACCAAACCTCTGATCGGGCCCAGTTGCGGACCAAACCTCTGATCGGGCCCAGTCGCGGATCAAGCCACTGATCGGGCTCAGTCGTGAACCAGACCTCCAATCGGCCCTAGTCGCGGACTAAACCTCTGATCGGGTCCAGTTGTGGACCAAACCTCTGATTGGGCCCATCCTTAGGCCCAGCCTCCTGGCGGCCATAGCCGCCATAATACGGCTCATTGTCAGCGCTGGGAGGCCGACAGCACCCCTCTCGCTCAGGCGAAATGTCTGCTCCTTGATCTGATCTTTTACCAGATCATTTCATGGCAGCCAACATTCAGCATGTGACACAGATTTTTTCGGCGCCTCCAAACATCAAACACGGACGAAAGACGGCGTGTGGTCACAACAACCATCGCACTCATCAGCAGTTTTCGCAGTTCTCGCAAATCATCAGCGCAGTCCGGTGTAAATGCGCATACAGCAACAGCACCGCCTTCCACGACGCTGTTTAATCTTGTGTACTCTGCACAAAAGGCACATGCACCTCACGCACACGCAGCCGTCGCCACGCCGACCTCGGGTCCTGCGAGCCGAACCCGCTGCACCTGCCTCCCCCGCGAACCTCAGCACTGGAATCGTCATCCCGCGAAGAGTGATGCCGCGGACCGCTTGTGCGTGGGTGAGTCCATCATGATGTCTCTGCAAGGGGAGAAAAGGTTCTCATTGAAGTACAGGGATGTTTGGATCATTATGGACGGTTAAGAGCACATCAAGCTTGCGTGGATCGCCTGTACCGTAAATACCATGGAAGCCTTCTTTGCTACGGGAAGACCAGCTTCAGAAAAGTGGGCAAGACAGTTTTCACAGTAAAAACAAGCACACAAACTTTTGAATCGCTAAATGAATCTGAATTTATTCGCTTTCGTGTTGGAAATGTCCGATTCGCGAGATATCCCATACAACCAAAACATATGGGTATTTCACATAGCGGGCTTGCCAGCCATGTAATTGTTAGGGACTACTAGGGTAATTGTCGGGCTGGGAAGTTGAAGCTGTAATGACTTATCAAGACTCACGATAGCTAATTAGTTTGAATTACATGGTAATTTGAAAGGCAGGAAGTTTGTTCGGGTACGCTTGACTTGACAATAATTCCAGCATACCTCACGTATATTATCACTTATGCATTAAGACTAAATCTTTAAACTGGTATCAAAAACAATGCTGTGCTTGGTGCTTCATATGTATACACGTTAATAGCTTGGAGTCGTTCTATCGATCACCATGCATTGACAATATATAACACCCGTTGCACTAATTCATGTATGCACTGCTGACTATATCTTACTTTACATGTAGTGAATAAACAGATTGCATGTGCTCACAGCCTACTTTTCAATAAATAAGCTTTATTCGGATTAGGTATCAGATTCGACAATTGTATCTGCGCTCCAGCCATATTCGGATTCCGTTTGCATTGTAACAGTCCGTTTGAATAATATCCAGATCTGGCTTTATTTGTTTTGGTTTGGCTTTGGGATGGATTCCACCACATCAAGCGCGGGTGCGCTCTGGTAAGCTGCAGATTTGGTTTTGTTTTCCTGTGGTCAATGTCTGACTACTGCACCGGCTCCAGCTACATTTTGTGGAGATCAGAGCCTTCTATGTCCAGTTTGGCCGGCAGGTGGCAACACGTACACTAACACAGCTCACCCTAAACAATGTCAGGCTGCCATCATTTCAGTATCCATTGGTGAATAAAATATTGGATATGAATGAGCATTGCCTGAGACTTGACGGACACTTCAGAAAGGTTTCATGCAAAACGACCAGTACCGCTAGAGCGCGTTCTTATGGCCTGTGCGCAACCCACTCGAGCGCCGACCAGTACCGCTAGAGCGCGTTCTTATGGCCTGTGTTTAAGCCACTCGGGCGCCGAAATCAGCAAGTTGTGCTGACGAAACACACGCATGCGAGCCAGCCGCGGATCAAAGCCCGCCAGTCATTGATGACGGACGTCGCCTGCCGGGTAGCCGACAGACCGGGCCCCATGCTCTAACCGTCCCAGTGGACCGACGCGGCGTGACTATGCTGTTCAGATCTCGGGCAGAATGCACCTGAACACCGCCTGTTGGTCGCTACATGAGCCCTCGACAGGAGCGGACGGAAGACGAGCCAAGAATCCGCATGACCTTTGTCGTTCGCCCTGTTTTCCACGGTTACGTTTGGTCGCGGTCAATGGTCGTTTGTTTGCCTGACTTGACACGACCAAGGCCTGAACAGCAGGCCATAGCAACGGTGATGAGATATCGTTTGCTGTTTTTTCCATCTTTGATCTGTGAATGACCATATCGTGCAGCTGCTTTAGAGGTAGATGCTGCTGCCGGCCTGGCGAGCGCTAACAACGACAACGTTTGATTAAGCTGATTTTTCTCCGCTAGTGCGAAAACGTTGTTACTAACTTGGAAGAAGTCCTGGCTAACCGCGACATTTAGTTCCGAGCAAAAATACTCAAAAAAAACGTCGCCAAAAGAAAACTGGTGTTCTTAGAAAGCCCACAAAACTTGCACACCACCCGGAGAAAAATTTGACAACCATGGCCCATTACCCATTTCGGAATACAAATATGGGGACCGACTTTGACCGCCCACTTATATGGAACTTGCACGTTTAGTTGGTAACACTTTGAGTGACCTCGGATACCTGTACCTCTGCTTACTCCTCACCTGAAGCGACATCTCTCTGGTGGGAGTCTGTGCCTCTGCTCACTCCTCACCCAAGGCGACACCTCTCCGGTGTGAGACTGACCCTCTGCTTACTCCTCACCTGAGGCGACACCTCTCCAGCGTGTGTGTGTGTGTGGGGGGGGGGGGGGGGGGGGGGGGTACCTAGCGGTGGGCGACGTCCGCGGCTGCCTAGCCGCCGCTGAATGATGTGCGCCGCCGGCTGCCGCTGTCATCCCTTCTCACAAGAACGAATTTATAATGAGGAGCCCATTGGTCAGCATGCGAGTCAGGTGATGTTGTCAACGTCGCAGTCGAAGCCGCCCTGGAACGTGTCCAGGTCGAGGTCGACCGGCATGTGGTTCTGCTGCAGCGCGCCCATCAGGTTGGACATGAGCTGGGAGGGCGTCTGCGGGTCCTCGGGCCGTGGCGCCGACACGGTCATCAGCGAGCCCGCGAACGGTTGGCCGGCTGGCGGCGGCGGAGCGGCAAAGGCCCTGTTACCGAAGCCGCTGGTGGTGTAGCTGCCGCCCGACGAGACCGGCGACGCCGAGCTGAACCTGATGGACGGCGAGGCCGTGTAGGAGGAGGAGACTGGCGAGCTGTAGCTGAGCGAGGCGCCGTAGGCGCTGCTGGCCGGCAGGCCGTGGTACAGGCCCTCCGCCTGCGCGTAGTGATCCGCCGTCAGGCTGGGTGACATGGAGCTGACGCTGGCCGCTAGTGACACGGACTGGAGGCCGTTGTAGTGGTCGCCGTCGGGGCCGGGCCGGCCGCTGGGCCCGGGCAGCAGGCCGGCGGGTTGGCCGTTGGGCGAGAGCGGCCCGCCGCCGGCGTACAGGCCGTAGCCGTTAATGCCGCGGTACGCCAGCGGCACGCCCGGCTCAAACTTGAAGCCGCCGTCGACCGAGTCGGCCAGCTGCTCCTGCTGGTAAGAGTCGAGCCGGTGCCGGTACCGCCAGGCGGCCAGCGGCGAGAGCCGGCCGCACGACGAGGCCGCCGAGTTGGCCCGGTGCCGGTAGTCGCCTCCAAGGAAGCCCGCCTGCGTCGGATGCAGCAGACTCTCGGCGAACCGGCCGTCCAGGCCGTCGCCCAGCGACGACGACGGGCTCGGCGTGTGGTCCAGGCCGCCGCGGATGGGCTCCACCTTCTCCTTGGCGCGGCCGCGCTTCTTCTCGTACTTGGACGTCTCGAGCGTGGCGCGCCGGCGAGTGCATTTGCCCGTCTTGGCGTCCGGGCTGATCATCCACCAGGAGGACTTGCCGGTGCCCTCGTTCTGCACCTTGATGAAGCGGCACCGGCCGAGCTGGTGCTGTCCCCTTTGTCTTTGAACCAGGGGATGTTGGTCACCATCCAGTCGTACACTTGTGCCAGCGTTGAGCCGCTTCTCCGGCGACGAGAGGATCGCCTGCGTGATCAGGCCCGCGTAGCGGTGCGGGCCCCACACGCTGCGCCGGTTCGAGTTTTTCGGCTTGGGCAGCACGGCCGTGGAGTCAGAGGCGGCCGCCGGCTTGGCCAGGTCTCCGCCCAGCGGCGTGGTGCCCGGCTCCGTCTTGCAGAGCAGCAGGCCGCCGCCGTTGCCCGTTACGGTGCCAGTTGTGTCCCAGCGAGGGTATCAGAGTCGGTGGCGGCGGTGGCGGCGGAGGTGGCGCGTTCTGGTGGAAGTTCTACTGCTGTATGTCCCAAGGCGACGCCTCGGGCAGGTTGTCCAGCGGGTGTTGGCTCTGTGCATAGTCCTCGGGCCGCGGCAGGGGCCCGGTGTTGGCACGCAGCCGCTGCTGCTGGCCCTAAGTTCGGATCGAAGTTCCCCTCGCCCGAGATATCCGACATCTCGTGGTACTCCACGCTGCCGGCCGGCCCGGCGGCGTGCACTCGTGCAACAGCGGTGTGGCGCAGGCCGTCCTTCACTGGTCCGCGTCGAGCCGTGCCTCCCCACCGGCAAGTGAGCAGCCCGGCGTGGGTGCGACAGGGACGGGGAGCCAGACGACCGTAGTCCTGCTTTTACGCAGATAGACGTTTGTGGGTAGCGCGGCTCGAGACACTGTTTCACTTTTTTCGGAGACGGCTGACACGTTTGATTGTTTCCCATTTGACCCCAGGTGTGACGGCCTAAAGAGGCATTGGTCACGATGTGACCCAGAACCCGTGGGAACCGCCCGAGATGCTTGATTGGGCATGGCGGTAACAGAGTCTATTCGTGGTGTCTCCACCTTGGGAGAGGACAGGAGTCAGTCTGCTCTCTTCCGTCGTGCTGTACGCCGGACCTTATGAGCGATTGGTGACGGGATGTTTGGGACGGATAGGGATCCCGCCATCGGCGGTCATAGGGAAGGTGACGAGTAATCATGTCGCCGGACAGGCCGGTCAGACCGAGTCTCCAGAGCGCGCAGGGCCGAGGAGACCGTAAGGCGTGGACGCAGGTCGCGCCGAGCGCTCGTCGTCTGACGAGGGGCTCCAGCGTCCCATAGAGCGCGCTGTCTACCCCCAGGCCTCTGAGGGACGCGCCGTGGGGCGGTGCCTTGCAAAGCCTGCTCCGGTGGGCGGGAGGCGAGGGCGCAGAAGTGCTGGAAGCGACGCCTCCATGCTGGACGAGGCGCTGTTTAAGACGCATGCGCGGCAGCGGGGAGCTGCGAGCGGTGTGTGTGGCCGTGCGAATGGTCGGCCGCCCATCGTGGACGGAACGCTAGGAGCGTTCCTTTAAACAGGGAGCCGTCACCCTGGAGGTCTGGCGAGGGAACGAGTCGCCATTGGGCTTCGGACACCCGGTGTCGGCCCAGCAGCTGCGTCCGTGCCAAGCTGGCAGCTAACGTGATACACTTTAAACAGGGCCTAAACGTGGCTTTATGGCAAGATCGAAATGTGATCAATGAATTTAACTGAACGAGGACCCACACCGACGAGCCAATTATAATGCCAAGGTGCAGGAAATAAGAGGGGGGGGGGGGGAGGACCCACCCGTGTGGAAGCCAAGGATGAATGGGATGATGTGGGTGCCAGCGAATGTAAATGCTTGGAGTGAGTGTGATGGGGCGCCGAGTGCACGGAGTCTGCGTGGATTAGTTAAGGCCGGGGGGGGGGGGGGGGGCTCCCAGGGCCATTACCCAGTGGGCTCTTGCCAATATAATTCGCCAGTGCGTGGGACCCTTCCAGTTAGGCGTACTAGTGTGCACGCGGTTCCGTTTTTGCCCCATTTAAATATTATCGCAAGCTAAAAGGTGGAGTTGGGGTACCGTGGTTAAGGGCGCACAGCCATGGGCGGGGAGACAGCCGTTCATGGTGCCTGACCGGACCCACCATCCCGCCAATGCCACAGTCATCCGCTTCATCTTAGCTCTGTGGCTCACATGAGTGTGCGCTGATGTTGGTTGTTCCGGAGCCACAACGTGCCGAGTCGCGCGCTAACATCATCTGGCTCGTATGCTGACCAATGGGCTCCTCATTATAAATTCGCTCTTGTGGGGACGCGCAACAGCGGCAGCCGGCGGCGCACAACATCCAGCGGCGGCCAGGCAGCCGCGCACGTCGCCCACCGTAGGACCCCCCCCCCCCCCCCCCCCCCACATGAGTCCGCCGCTCTACTTACTTCCCACCTGAAGCGGCAGATCTCCGGCGTGAGTCTGCACCTCTGCTTACTCGCCACCTGAGGTGACACCTCTCCGGCGCGAGTCTGCACCGGACTGGCGTATTACTGCCCTTTCAAGCTGGATTTTAAATGATCATGACTTGTATGAAGAACTAAGGGAGGGTGAATTCTCGCTGAAATGGCATTTCCCTTCTTTACATATTCAGACAAGAAGCTGCAATAAGCCAAACCGACCATGGGTTGTATTAAGAAACACCTTTCATAGGTTATATGACTATCTGTTTTGGTTTTCCCCGGCTATAAATCCAAAGATTCATGGAAACATCATACATGACGAGCCCTGTTTGCTGAACCTCCGGCGGGATGCCAGTCAGTGGACCTACCCGGCAGGCCGCGGCAAAGCTGACGGGATTTGTTTGCTGGACCCTGATGGGCTGATGCCAGTCTGTGGAATCCGACGCCGCGGTAAAGCTGACAAGATGTATGTTTCTGTTCGTCGCTCGGGTGGAATCGGCTGCGCTGCAGCGGGCCGCCGCTCGCGGCAGACCGCCCGGCCGCCGCTCGTCGGCAGACCGTCCGGCCGTCGGCGTCGTCGGCAGACCGTCCGGCCGCCGCTCTTCGCAGACCGTCCGGCCCGCCGCTCGTCGGCAGACCGTCCGGCCGCCGCTCGTCGGCAGGCCGTCCGACCGCCGCTCGTCGGCAGGCCGTCCGGCCGCCGCTCGTCGGCAGACCGTCCGGCCGCCGCTCGTCGGCAGACCGCCCGTGCCGCCGCTCGTCGGCAGACCGCCCGCCGCCCGCTCGTCGCAGGACCGTCCGGCCGCCGCTCATCGGCAGACCGTCCGGCCGCCGCTCGTCGGCAGGCCGTCCGGCCGCCGCTCGTCGGCAGAACCAGCCCGACCGCCCGCTCTTCGGCAGGCCATCGCGGCCGCCGCTCGTCGCCAGACCGTCCCGGCCGACGGCAAACGCCGCAGCAGCTAGCACCGCGAGGCCAGGCGGCGACATGTCGGCACACGTCAGGCCTCACATTGAAACACCCCCTTCTCCAAGGATGTGTCCGATGTCGGCGCGGCGACTGGCTAGTATTGTGGAAGTTAGACAGTTGACGGGCACAAACACGATTTGGTCGGCCGGGGACGGCTTCAGGCGCGGCGCAAAACAACCAGCAACAGTTCAGTCGAGCTCAATAGAGACACAACAGCCGGTCCTTCTGTACGTGCGCCGACGACCGCTGAAAACCTGAATGTGGCTTTTGAAAGGCTCCATTTGTCTCTCAGATATCAGAATGTGGCTCTGGAATTTACAGAATGGAACACGCAGTTGCAGTTTGTCAAACTGCACACTTCTTGCAACTCGGTATGCGGTAGTGTGGCTGCAGGGCACAAACAGCCATGGCTCAGTTTCAGAATAGCAGGAAAGGGTGGTGGTCCCCAAATTACCAAATGGGCGGATCCTTCCGCTTGGAAATGCTTCACCAAATGCTTAAATTCATCACGAGGTCACCGTCCAGCACTTGACAAGGCAGCACTCTTCGTTGGCGCACTATTGAGATGGCCTTAGAACAGGATCCCGACATCCCAGTTATCAAGTCAACGTTGGCTGGATATGGCCGGATTTTGGTCATTAGTTGGAATTTCAAGATCGAGCCCGTAGGAGCAAAGCTATTTCCCCATCGAGCAATGCTCACACGCCCGGTCCTGTATGGTTGCCAGGTAGTCTGGGCTGCTCTTTGCTGCTGCGTGACCCGGGTCCACGATGTTCTGCGACCTTTTAAGTCTCTGTGGCCATTTAAGATACCTTCGCGCCCGGTGTTATCATCCGCCTGTCCTTTCGGCTGTGGTGGTGTGATGCTGTGGTGCATAATGTTGAACTTACAAGATGCAAATGGGTTCCGGATCGACACAATATTTTAAGTGTACCGTCCTTCACCGACCCGTGGGTAGGAAACCATTGCCCAGAATGCCTGTCGAGACGTTTCATAGCCCGGTAGAGCCTCATAAAGTCTATCTGAGGAGCAGACTGAGGTAAAGTCATCTGATAATTTGTCCCAAGGGGATAAAGGCGGTGGAAACTCCGGAAAGTTTGAGGGTGATCCAGCGATGTTTTACCTCTATTTTTATGCGGACCACCGCCGGCGAGCGCTTATGATAAAGGCACGACTAAACTTGGGCTGAGTTTAGAAATGGCCGCACTATCACCGCTGAAACTGCAGCCTCTGGAGGACCTCCCATTCACTCCCCTCCCTTGGTTCGAACAACAGGTTCAGCGTTCAGGCGCAGGCGGTGAGCGCAATGTGGGTGGTTGGCGCCTGTGGCTTCCAAATCGGGGCACGAGGTCGAACCCGAGTTGCCCCATGGTCCTGGAACGCTGTCATGATCTCAGCAGTCACTCGTACGCCATAAAAGGGTCCATGAAGACGTGCGTCACGATTTCTTCTATTGAAAAGGCGTACAGGCAGCGAACCATGCTGCTGCCACTTTGGAAGCAACGCCAATCAAGCAGATTACTTTTGCGACGAAATGTGTACAATGTCGAAGTGATATTTTCACAAAACGGTATCACTTACATGATTCGAAATGGCAACCTCATCTATCGTGCTCTGTATCCTTGCGTCCCATAAAAGCTGCGTGCATTAAATGAAACTTAAAAAGCAAAAACAAAAGCAACAACGAACACTGCACATTGCTTACGACCTCAAGCCCAGCACATTGCATCCACGACTGTCAATTGCAGTCACATCCCAAAGCGCTGGGCATCAGGGCAATGTCAAGGACAGCATACTGAAATACGCATCAGCACTACAGCATAAGTAAGCTTAGAACCGAATAACCAGTGGCGTCACTTTATGCATTGCGTACGGGTCCCTAACCCCACCCCCAATACTGACTTGAGCTTGACTATAATGCTCCTCTGAGCCCTCCCCTCTACCCCGATTAATGGGAGCAAGAAGGAGAATGCCGGACCAATGCAAT